GTATATTTGAGGATATTTGTATGGACGCTTGTAAATTGGGTCCTCATGTTTCGTTAGAATTTTGTGTTTAATTGTACTAGTGAAAGTCAAATTGTCACCTTCATGGTACTGGATATCACGAAATTCATGTAAAACTTTTTTTATTTTTTCTTTTTCTTCTGAGTTTAGGTGCTCTAGCCTAAACTCATTGTTTTCTATTAATTCATTATTAATAGCGAAGTTAAATGGTCTGTCCTCTGTTGAGGGTGGATCAAGGCACTCTTGTGCGGTCATGTCCTCTTCGACCTCTTCGTCATTATATCTAAAACAAAAGTTAAATTCTCCTAAGGTTACGGATCCTTGTGCATAGTCTATTTTTGCTTGACATGCCTCAAGGTATTCTCTCCCAATCAGAACATCATAATGCTCTGAGAAGTCGTGAATATAGAATTTTTGTTTGCTCGGACAAATTTTGCTTGCTCCTAATCGTATACTTTGTTTTAATTCAATAACACCATTTATGGTGTGAATCTTTAATGTTTCGTTGTAAACTGGAAAATTTAAGCGGTTTGTTTTCATTAGATTTATGGTTGAACCTGTGTCGATGACACATTTTAGAACTTCGTCATTCATAATCAATTTTATGAATGGATTTCTTCTGTTTGTTCCGAGGCTTGCTGATGAAAATTTTCGGATGTATCCATTTTCATCTGCCCACTGTTACTATCTCTTTGACGTTTAGTCGGAGGGTTTGGTGCATTCAAGCGTGAATGGGACTGATTTTGGTAGTTTAAGGGATTTTGGTATCTACCTTGACTTAATTTCTGTTGGAACTCGTGGTGAGCTTTCTGATTGTCTTCGGACTTATTATGCTGTTTATTTTGTGCGTGATAACTCTGATTCGTGTTGGAATAGCCACTTGAAATGGTGGTTGGGTTAGCATTTTGCTGATAATTTCCCATGTTCCTACGATTGTTATTTGGATTTCCCTGAACATTATTATTTTTAGGTTTTTCAGTAACGCTATTTTCATATAATCCCTCTCTTTGAGCTACTTGCTTTAGTTTTTGTGTCGACGTAATGTCGTGTCTGGCTAACATCATGAAAAGCCTATCTGGTAATTTTTTTGTAATAACATCTTTGATTGTGTTATTCATAGCATTTGTATAAAGGGTTGTATTGCTAGGTATATTTTCTAGTGCTAACTTATTTAATATAACAAAAGATTTATTCTCGAGCTCCTCGATGAACTTACGGACGTTTCCTTGGTAATTCGTGTTGTATAAGCGTCGAAGGAGTTCTTCAAATGGTGTCTGCACTTTGTATTCTTCAATCAATGCGTTTCTCAGCTCCTGCCAAGTGTTGGCTGCTGTCCTTTGTGATATTCTCTGAGCATCTCCTGTGACTTGCAATTCGATGGCTCCGTATAAGATGCTATGTTGTCTAACATCTCGGGTTGGATACAGGTGTAGGATGTAATCTATCCTTTTAACGAAGGCGTTTAGTTGATCCGTTGATCCGTCAAAGCTTGGCACCTGTCTAAGTTGTGAAAGGGCCTGGTTGAGGTGTTGTTCTGATAATTCCATTGTCATCTTGGTGTAATACACTTTTTTTTGAATAGTTTTGAGTTTGTAGGTTTGAACTTTATTGTTCTTTGATTTTGCACTTTTATTTTAAGTTAAAGTTTGTGATGGATTATTGTGTAAATGTTTTTTTTTTTTTTTGTGTGTGTGTCTTAAAAAGACTCAGTAATAACGTATTGCAGGGATCAAACGATATGCAAAGCCAGTCGTTATTAACTGTAGTAGCTTTATTGCCCAAAGGGTCAATATTATTAAGCTACTAATGACCCGAAGGTTCTTGTGCGGATACGTATTCGAGAAAATTTTTATTACACTCCGACAACACTTTCGGTCGCGATTGTGCGTTAGATCTGGGAATTAATTATCCTTTAGCGATCTTTAATTTTTCCCGACGTATCCTACCGGCTGCGCCAATTAAGTTTTGCACGTTAGGTTACTATAAAAAAATATATTTCAATTTATTATTTTCACTTAACGGCTACTTTTGTTGAGTACATTCAGATTTGCTTCCCGAATATGAACTGATTTATCTAACTGTTGCGGTCGCTTAGCAAACTTCGCTTTGAGAGAGTTTGAGTCAAAATTGAGTGAAGTTTGAGCTGCGTCAGCAATTATGCGTGGGATAGTACTCTGATGGGAACATTGACAGTGGCGTGATATTTAGGGTGAATTGTTTATGTCTACCAAAGGGGGACAGTTTGATCTTGACCAATGTCGATGTTATCACCAGGCTCTTTGTTTACAATATTAGAAATGTTTATAATTGTGCTTATGCTTATGTGCTAAGTTATGTTAAAGGGTGGGTGCGACTATGGATATGTCACTATATATGTGTGTGTGTGTGTGTGTGTGTGTACATACACGCATATAATGATGTGGAGCGAACACACAGACACAAACACATGTGTGCGTGGGCATGCATACGCACATTTAATGCAAATTTAAGCAGTTAGCAAGCAAGTAAAACCGTTATGTCTATGTGTGTGTGTGTGTGCTCAATATGTGCTTGCCTATATATATATAAATGTATGCGTGTGTGTGTGTGTGTATATATTGCTGCGCTGCTGCGGATACATAATGCAGGGCAATATAAATAATTGCAATACATATAAATTGCAGCTGTACGTGTGTGTGTGTGTGTGTGTGTGTGTGTGTTGCATAACCGCATTTGTCGTTTACATATGCTACAGATACATAGGCATATCCTTATATAGTCAATACATGCAACTGCCTATGTTAATATGTTCGTGTGTGTGTGTGTGTGTGTGCGTATTTAAATGTGCATCGATGCCTGCCGCATTGCATTGCAATTGCATTAGTGTGGCGTCCTTTTGTTCATTACACGCACAATGCTGGCATAAAATAAATCTACAGCAAAATACTCGAACGCATTTGTTAAATGAGACAAGCGAAGTAGCAGGAGGCGGGAGGCGGTTGCAGAAGCGGAAGCTGCTGGAGAAGATGTTGGGGGTAGACTGTCGCTGACTGATGTTGCATGCGAAATCCGAAACTTGACTTGCCCCCTGGCGGCAGCATCTGCATTCCTCTACAGCTTCAGCCGTAACTCTACCTTACATATATATATATATATATATATAGATAGATAGATAGATAGATACATATATATTCAACCCCCGGGCGCTTAAAGAACTCTAGCAGAATTTTTGTTTATTTTAATTTTTACATATTGAATTTTATTTCCGTTTCTTCATGTTTTTCTATGTGTGTGTGTGTGTGTGTGTGTGTGTATTCGCCTGAAACTACAACAAAAATATCAATAATAAAATGATATTAAACTTAATGCTAAACTTGGATACTCAAAGAAACGTCAGAGAGTTCAACATAGTTACATAATAATAATAATAATAATAATAATAATTAGATATTTCTGTCTTGAAATAAGGCCTTTATAAATATTGCATTTGGACTGAAATTTAAAAAAAATTGGTTCAACAAAACTGACAGATCGGGAACTTGAGCTAAAATCGAAACAGATCTGAAACTAGACTTAACATATAGCTACTATATATAACATAGTTTTTTATTTTTTTTTTAATTTTTGTTGTATTTCTTTTAGTTTGTCTTTGCTTAGTTAAAAATAAAATTACGTAATTCTTGTATTTTAGCATTTAATTTTTTTGTTTTTGTTTATACATATATATTTATATCACAATAGAAAAAAGAATTAATTCACATATTCTTTTCAATCGTTATAGTTTTTTTTTGTTTTGTTTTTTTTTTTTAACTTTTTGCTTACTTATAAATTAAACAATAAAAAATGTACAGAATTTTCTTTAACGTTTCTTTTGTTGTTGTTGTTTTTCTTTTCTTTTCGTTTTTTTTTTTTTTTGCTAGTAAACAAAGTTGTTGAGTTATTTGACTAATTGTTGCTTGACCAAGTTAAAAACTAAAACTAAATGTAAATTTATTAAATTTGCGTTAAGTGTCTACTATTAACATGTTTTAAATTTAATCGCCAACTAAATTAAACGGCATAACTAACGACGCTGCACTAAACAAATTCGAAACAAAAGCAAACAAAACAAAAAATAAAGTTCAACACAAAGAATCTCGTTGGGCCAAATACACAAAAACAAAAAAAAAAAAACATTTCTAACAAAAGGCAGAGACAGAGAGCGCCAACAAAGAGCAAACTTTTTTTTTTGTAGTCGTTGTCGTCGTCGTTGTTGTTGTTGTTGCTGCTGCTGCTGTTGCGGGCAAGCTTAAAGCGCTGCTCACGTCGCTGCTGGCGTCGCAGCTGCCGCCATTGCTGCGCCTGCTGTTGTTGTTGTTGTTGTTGTTGTTGTAGTGTTGGAGGACGCTGGCTTTTGTTGTTTCTGCTTCTACTTTTTCGCTGTTGTTTCTGTTGTTGCCGAAGCGTGAATTAAAATAAACTATTTAAATTTATTTGCATCTGTTTAACTGCGGCCTGCATTATACACACAGGCACACACACGCACACACAGCAAAGCACACATTTATGCATATGCATACGTGTGTGTGCGCTGCGTTGCCCGCACTCTTTCTCCCTCTCTCTTTCACTCTTGCGCTATGCTTATCGCGCGTCTCCATCACCATGCACTTTGTTGCTGCCGTCGGCCATAGCTGCAGTCGTGTTTTTTTTTCTCTCGTTTCTTTTTATCGCTGCCGCTGCGCTGCGTGCGTGTAAGCTGACGCGTCGTCGTCGTCCCCTTCCCCCCTGCTAACCTATACCCCGTCAACGTAACGCACAGGCCCACAAGTGCGCCGCTGCCAGCCCCTTAGGAACCTGCGGCGGCAGCAACAACACACCAGACCAGACCAGAGCTTCAGCTCCATGACACCGTAGCCGTAGCAGTCGCAGTCGCAGTCGCTGTTTCTGTTGTTGTTGCCGTTGCCGTGCTTGTGTCTGCGTATGTATGTATATGTATATGTGTGTGTGTTGTGTTCATTGTTTGCTTTTTGTTGTTGGCGTTTGTTGTTTTCTGCCTCTCTCTCTCTCTCTCTCTCTCTGTCTCCCGCTGCCGCTCTCCCTCCTTTGTCGTTGGCTCGCTCGCCTGCGCTCTGTCTCTGCTGTTGCTTTTGCTGTTTCGTTTTCTACTCGATTCGTACGAAAAAATTTAGTACAGCGTGTGGTATGGCAAACGAAAGCTATGAGTTTTCAGTGTATCTTGTTGTTGTTGTTGTTTTTTTTTAACTTAGTTGTCTGCCCAACTCCGAATGTGTGTGCGTGTGTGTTGGGGTGTGTGCTGGTGTGTGTAATTACGTGCCTTGCCTTCACGTCAGACATGCAACACGGCACGCAGGTAGAAGGAGACGAGTAGGAAGACGAAAGTCAAAAAGAAGTAGAAGACGCAGCCAAAGTCACAAAAGTCACACGCACACACACACACGCACACAGACAGAGTGTGTGGCATCCTAAGCGTTAGCCTGCGCCGACTTCTCTGCCTCGGCGGCGGCACAGGCATTGCAGTCATGGTGAACGCATCATCTGACCAGCCAGAGGCCCAGATTGAGCTTCTGCAGCTTGGGCAGCTTCATGATGATGTCGATGCCCTTCGAGCTGAGCTGTGTGCAGCCATAGAGATCGATGGTCTTCAGATTGGACAGATCCTCGGCGAGCGTCTGCAGGCCCTTGTCCGTGATGCGGCTGCACTGGCCAATATTGAGATTCTCCAATTCGTGCAGCGACTTGGCAATCTTCAGCATGCCCTGATCCGTTATCTGGCACTGGTTGAGGCTCAGCGAGCGCAGCCTGTACAGGCCCTGGGCGATGTGGGTGAGCGCCTGGTCGCTGATCTTGTCGCAGAAACTGACGTCCAGTGAATTGATGCCGCTGCCGCCCTCCGTCAGGTAGGCCATGCCAATGTCGGAGATGTTGTCGCAGGAGCGCAGATTCAGCTGTTCCAGCTTGGGCATGCGCGCCAGATGCTTCAGTCCGCTGTCCGTTACCGACACGCAGAAGCTCAGATTGATGGACTTTAGTGAGGTTAGACCCTGTGCTATGTGACCCAGCGCCTCGTCGCTCAGCCGCTGGCAATCCTGCAGGCCCAGATACTCCAGCTGCAGATTGCCCTCGGCTGTTTCGCGGCTGAAGCCGGCCAGATGGCCGATGCCCTGGTCGCTGATGTGCCAGCAGGAGCGCAGATTCAGATGGCGCAGCTTCTTGAGGCCCCACGCGATCAGGAGCAGGCCCGTGTTGGTTATGTTGCAACAGCCGCCCAGCTCGAGCGTCTCGAGATTCTTTAGATGCTGCGCAATCCGGCCCAGACTGGTGTCCGTGATCTGTTTGCAGAGCGACAGGTCCAGCGTCTTCAGATTGGGCAGATCCACGCTGAACGCGTGTCCCAGATTCATGTCGGCCACATTGAAGCAGCCGCTGAGATTCAACGATGTTAGCGCCGGCACGCCCAGCACCAGATCCTTGAGTGAGCGTCGCAGCGACAGAATTTGCACCTTCTTGATGCCGCGTCGCACCAGGCAATTGAACAGACTCGGACTGGAGCGCTTCAGATGCAGCTTGGCCTCGACACCCTTCCACACGCTCTTCGCATAGGCCGCATCCCGCCAGGCGGTGCACACCTGTGCCGCACGCCCCAAGTCTCGCACCGGCAGATGCTCAAAGATCTGCTCGAGCAGCTCCGGGAACAGATTGCTGATGTGTGTGCCCTCCACGGGCGGCGGACTCTCCGGCGAGGCGGCTCTGTGCTGATGATGGTGATGATGATGATGATGATGCTGGGCATGTGCCGCTGCAGCGGCCGCTGCTGCTGCCGCCGCCGCGGCTGCCGCATGTTGCAAATAGAGCGCAGGTGGCAGCGTTTGCAGCTGCGGTCGATGGTGCAGCGCGTAGGGCGTGAAGCGCAGCAGGTGGTGGGCGTTGCGTGTCAAGCCGGGCAGCTCAGTCTGTTGATACAGTTCGTCCATATTCCAACCGGCCGCGGAGCCGGCTGCCATGCCGCCAGCTGCAGCCCCACCGCCGCCGCCGCCGCCGCCGCCGCCACCACCTCCTCCTCCGCCAGCGCCACCGCCATGATAGTTGGTCAGGGCGGCGGCTGTCTGCAGCGAGATTGTGGTCTGATGATGGAAGGGCAGCAGCTCTGTGTTGGTGGCCATTCTATGTGGCAGCTTCTGCTTGAGCTTGCAACGAGTTCCTCGACTCGTCGTTGTTTTTGTTGTTGTTGCTTGTGTTCACTCTTGAGATATTTTATACTTTAGATACTTGATGTGCGTCGCATTTTACGCTTGCTGCGACAGTTGCTTTATATGGATGCACTGGGGGACTAGATGAGCACTGCACAAATACGAATTCGGATGCACTTGCTTGTGGCCAGCTGTTGTTTAGTCCAGATGAACGGCTTTTTTATCTCTATTATTCACTGGCGAACGAGCGTTAAACGAGCTTCAAGTGAAGACAAAAACCGGACCACGACAATTGATTTCCGCAGCGACGTCCGAACGGTTCGATGGCGAGTAACAGAATGAGCCACGGTATGACAAAGCGACAGAATAAATGAGCGGCCGCACACACGCCACCAATACAAGCGCAAGTACGCTGAGCGCGACAGCAATGGCAGGCAGCTAAATTCAGCAATAGGCGAGCAGGTAATGGCGCTCTCTTGTGCGCTCGCTCTCTCGCTCTCGCTCTCGATTAGAGCTGCGCTTTGAGTTATCTTTGGCTGTTTTATGGCTAAATTCTGTCTGGCTCGACTTTTTAGAGGTTGCTTATTTTGAATTACCTATTTTTGCTCAAGGATATGTTTTAACAATGTCGGAACTTGTATTTTCTATATTTTCGAAATTAAATAAGCCACATTCTGCATTGCAAATGGAAGAAAAGCGTGCAGCTGGTATATTTGTAAACACTTTCGAGGCAGACAGCTCGCACAATATATACAAATTTATGTATTCAATTAAATTTAAATGCAACATAAATTTGGTTGCTTCTTCTTGCTATTTATTTATCTTTAAGAAAGAGAAGAAAACTAGAAAATCTCTGTGATTTATGCTAAATATTCGTGTATACCCCTATCGCATAAAATGTCTATATTTATTATTTATATATTTTTTTGTTAAGTATTGCAAACGAAAAGAAAATGGAAATATTTGTGGACTATCCAAAACAGCAGCAAATTTTCTTAGTGAAAAAATGAAAATTGAAAACATGAAAAACAAATAAAGGCAATCCTTTTGAGGAGTTATGCGAACTACAGGGTAACTTTTTATGTTTCAAAATAACTTAGTTTAATATTTTTCGACATTTAAATCTTGATATTCATATTAAAATGAGTTCCTAGTCCAGACATATGCCAAAACTCCGACGCATTTGATGTGCTGCAGCAATGCATTCCAGGCACGATCATGTGCGCAGGTACCTGTCTTGCCCTGCCCCTGTATCTTTATCTGTGCCCAAGTGCCAGTGTGTGTGTGTGTATCTGTGATCGTTTCATGTTGGTGCTTGTCGCTACCTGCGTCGGCGTCGGCGTCGGCGACGCACAACAATCCCGGTTTCCAAGAAAATATTAACGATATCTCCCAAAACGTTGCCGCACACAGAAATCCGAAAGGCAGCTCGAGTTGCGGAGCTGAGACCCGCTGCGAAGCACAAAAGCCGACCCACAATAGCGGGCCACGCATTGTTATTGATACTAGGAAAGCAATGCACACGCACACACACACGCACACACACACACACACGCACACATGTTGGGTAAAAATTGTGAATCCAGACGGAGCCTTAAAAAGGCAAGGAAAACGCCGCCGCCGTTTCTAAAAAAAAAAAAAACAAAAAGGAAAAAGGGACCAGGCATCAGGAATTGGGAAAATCTGCGTCGCTACCTGCCCGGGAAACAATCACACACGGACAGACACCCGCATACGAACGCACCCTCAAGATCGTTTCGGGCTGGGGGCAAACGGTAAAAAGAAAATGCCTACGCTGATTTCTCATGCCCATTGTCTAGGCTAAGGAGAGGCCGAGGGATTCGTACAGTCAGTCAGCTATCCAGATTATCCTTGCCGAGAGCCAGAGCGAGAACGAGCTGCTTTCTTTCAGTCTCTCTCTCTCTCTCTCTCGCTCTCTCTCTGTCTCTCACGCTCTTTTGCGCTCACCTTTGCTTAGCTTCTACCTGTCAAACCGGTTGGCCCAAAGGGCCAGGGCCAGGGCCAGGGCCAATCTCTGGACAGGCACGGGAACGCGGTCGTGTCAAGGCGTCGCTGGCAACGAAAAATAATCTGTTCGCTGGAACTCCGAAAGAAATATATAGTGCGGCAGATAATAATCGATTGGTTTTTGGCTGCCTTTCGCACACACTGTGATCATCATTAGCTGCACCAGGTAGAAGCGGCAGCATCTTTGTGTAACTGCGGAAAAGGTGCAACACGCAATAGAGACAAGCAGCAGCCAATACATTTGTGGGCGAGGTGCCCAGAGGGGAGCCCACGCAACAAGTGCAAATCAGGCGACCGCGACCCCATTGCCAACTCTCTTCGCGGCGAGCCCAATAACTGGAAACCACAAGATACAAGATACAAGATACACACACGCACACACACATACGTATATATGTACATCTGTATGTATCTGCATAAATACCTGTACTTGTCACGTACATACATACACACTTACACACAGTTTATTATATACGAGGCTGGGCATATGCGTGATTACACACTGAAAATTGCTTTATTGGCTCTAAAGACTGTTGTTGATTTATGGGCGGTATTTCTGGCCCTTCCTGGTACTCTTTGCAGCTGGACAAGATTTGCACATCGTATAACCAAGAAGTATATCCAAAAGATCTCAAGCCAGAATAGAAATAGACAGTAAAAATAACTGGCTACAGTATACAACTGAAGGATATCTTGGTATCTGCTTCAACAAGGATCAAAGATATTTATCCTAAAGCATCTTAAGACTCTAAGAATGTGAATATGAATATGATCTTCAAGTATATATAGCTAGTAAATATTCTATGCGAGTATCAGAGATATCTTTTCATCTAGCTAAGGCCTATATATATCTAGACAATCCTAAAATCTTTAAGCTTATGATTATTTTCTATCATAAACAACAATATATTCAAAATATGGTCAAGCATGATCTTTCTTATCTTATCTTTGCTTCTAACTAAGCGCTTCAAATATATTCAAAAATCTTTCGACTCTTAGATTTGCTCTACAAAGTATCTTATGCCCCCTAATGCAATTGGAAATTGGATTTCATATAATATGATTATATATAAATTGATTAATTGCGTTTCCGGTTGATCCAGTTTTAGAAATACACGCAAATTAACCCAACAAGTACTGTGGGATTGTCAAACAAAGATGCCGCTCTTCATTTTAATTGTTGTAATCGAAATCTGGCCTCAATTAGTATTCGGTTAGCCCGCATGCCCAGCTCGAAGGGTTAGTTGAGTTTGATAACAAATTGTGGAACCGACAGCGGCGTCTCACAATGACTGTGACGGATCGCATCAAGATTGCAGATGATGGTTCCTGGCATATGACGGGGTAATGCAAGCTATTCTTTCTGTTGAAGCAGGAAGGCATTTCAGGGGCTTTCGGCATGATCAATCACACAATCACATATATATCCAAGTTGATATGCAGTTTGGGAAGCCTTCGATACTTAGACAGCTGTCTTAGAGCCGGACTGGACACTTGACAGGTTTTTTGGAACCGCTCGGTAATCTCTGTTCTAGGCGAAAAAAACTGAAAACTGAAACCACGTTGTGGCTGGCAGCCAGCACTTGGCTCAAGTGCCAAGTTCCGCAGTTTTCTGTTGAAAACAGGCGTTGCTCTAGGGATTGAGCTGGCACAACTGACAAAACATTAGTGGAAAAACTCCTGCTGCGACAACTTAACAGTTCTTAAGATCTATGAGAAACGTAGCAATATTAATAAGTACGTAAAAGAAGTTTTCTAAAGTGAGTTCGAACTCAAAATAAACCAAATGAACTAAGAGGAATTTATGCTGATAAATAGGAAGAGCAGCAAGATGACATACGGGAAAGATAAATGTAGAAAAAGATCTTTAAATTATGTTAAAATATAAAAACAAGAGAAGTTAATGGTATATAAAACATATAAGTTGACTGTCTTAAATACACTTATTAAATAGCCTTAATCTTTTCCACATATATGTAAAATGTTCCTTTATTGTTTATGTAATTTAAATGCTATATGTATATATATATATATATGTATATATATATCGTTTTATATTATGTATGGTAAGTAGATTTATGTCAGTTTTTCCTTTTCGTTTTTTTTTTGAAAAATGTCGTTTACATATGGCATACTATTATGCACTAGAAATTAATGTTGATTTTAGTTTTAAATCTTAAAATTCGTTTACGCTATGACTTTAAAATACTCGTATGTACGTAGTTAATAACTAGTTGCTAATTAATTAAAACCCAAGTGCCCAACTAGGCTTCATTATGCTACGGAAGTGTAGTTCAACTCAAGCTAGTTGGCTTTCAATAATATAATAGTTTAGTTTATGTATGTATGGCTGAGGGGGGGGGCATAAATATGTTGTGTTGTGTTTTGTAGTGTAGTGTATATGACGCTATATAGTGTATATTTACATGCATGAGCACCTCAACGAACTAGGCTTATAAGTAGGAGGGTGCACGCAAGGAAGTGGCTTGTGTCTATATGCTAAAAGCATTCTTTTGATTTTTTATAGTTTGATACATGCGCGTTTCTATGTGCTATATGCTAAATATTATCATTATTATTATTATTATTATTATTATTTAAAATATTATGTGTGTGTATTTAAACATTTCATTTCGTTGAATTAAGTCCAAATGGTTATAGTATTAATCAATGGAGTCGCACACTTTGTTTGTCTAACCGTTTCGGGTACTTAAGAATCGAGACATGTTTTGAAAATTTTGAGTGTGCGACCTCTTCGGCTGGCCGAAGCAGCGCGTTTCACTGGGCTCTTTATTTTATTTGGGATGATGATATATTTTGCATTTCTAATGTCGTACGTGCTAAGTTCTAAATTATGCTATGTTTGCTCTTAAAACACCCAAAAATTTTCATATATGTGTGTGCGGTTTTCGTTGCTTGAAAAATAAAATGTGTGAGAAAAAAGTAAAACCAAACTAAGAACACAAAAAAAAAAATCTAAAAATTAATAATATTAAAATACTTTAATGGGGTTATATATATCACAGGTACATTTTAGACTTTTTCAAATGCAAGCTTGTAAAAATGTATGTACGTTATGGAGAGCCCCCACACAAAGGCGAACGGCCGGAGGGTTCAAGGGGTCGTAAACAGGTTAAAGATCGGACAATGGCTTGTATGTGTGTGTGTGTGTGTGGAGGTTTTCTTCGATGGCACCGAAGTGTTGGCTTTAGCTATTTATGTATATGCTGCCTATTAAGCATAATAAGTTGTAATTAGAGTTTAAGTTTTACTAAGCACTAGGTCAAGTCGTTATTTATGAAGTATTTCTTCGTCTTCCTTTTT